TTTCATTTTTGAGTGAACTATCCAGTCTATAGATTGTTCGTCTCACCTGAGGCGGTCATCTGAGCCAATGTGAGCAGGTACAGTGAAGTGGCATCAACCTGCAGGTGCCCCCACTGATCATCTCCAACCACTGTGGCACAGGTAGGCGTGTGATATTTGGCATGCAGGCAGTCCTTTGTGCTCTGTGTGTGTTTGAACTTCTCTACCTTTGCCACCTGCAGTAATATATGCACATGCTTAGCCAGGCCAGAGAGCTATGTTGTCAGCTCAAGAATGAATGAACTGATGAATAAATGAAAGAATAAAAACTATATAGCTGGGTTTAGAATAACAAATGAGCAAGACCATAGAGTTAAATACCGTACCTGTCTCATCATACACTGCAGCAGCCCCTGCATTAGCTTAACCACACTCTGAAAAACAAAATGCTGTCAATAGTACAAGTATTGATATCATCTGGAAATAAACAAGCAGCACAATATTCTGTATAAATTTATACTTGCGCACACAATTGCCAGACACAACTATATTTATGTAATATACTGTACACAAAGAGATTTTTTTTAAAGAAATTAATACTTTTATTCAGTAAGGACATATTAAACTGATCAAAATTTACAGTAAGATTTTTATAATTATTTTTATTTTATTTTTTGATAAGTTTGAAGGCTTTTCGTTTCTTTTGAACTTTCCCCGAACAGCGCATGTGACTCTGAAGATTGGAGTAATAGCTGCTGAAAATTCATCTTTGCCATCACAGGATTAAATTACATTTTAAAATATATTCAAATAGTAACATTTCACAGTATTACGGCTTAAATTACTGAGCATAAGAGACTGAAAAATCTTACTGACTTCTAAAGCGTTGAACAGTAGTGTGTATATACACGATTGCTTCAACTACACATAACAAAAGACTTTTGTTGTGTGTAGTTGAAGCAATCATCCAACAACCTGTTACATTACTCAACGGCAATGTGCTCCTGAACAACGCCACAACAGATGGTGATGTTTTGAAGTTCCAGTCACCTGTTCAAGCTCGTAGGCTTTAGCTTTATCCTCATCACGGTCTGCATTCTTGCGGTAAGCCATGCCGAGCCCCCACACTGCCAAGATGCTGTAAACATTATCTCTGACCCAGGCATCCTTCTGCTGCTCGCTAGCTGGCAGTAGACCTGTCACTGGATTCTATATGGAGAGGTCAAACCCATCTTCATTTATTCAAATATATATACACCATATAATTAAATACAAGCTTGATCCGATTTGTAATGCTAATTCTCATAACACTTACATATTTCATACGTTTTAGACGTTTTAAACACTAGTAACCTGCTGCGGAAATGTTAATTCATACAAATAAATACTAAAAAATCAAACATAGATATGTTGATCATTTATTATTACTTATACAGTTTCTTGTGCTGTACATAAAGCACCAACTCTACTTTTAAAGGAATTTACATGCTGCAGATAATACAAATATTTTTCTCACCCATGGGTTATTTAAAGGTGAACTTTGTTCAAGCTTTATTTATTTTTAGATTTCTCCTGTTAGAATGGCCCCAATGGTGCAGAATAATCTCAACCACAAGAAACTACTGTAGACAGAGGCCTATGTTTTTATTTGAGCTGGATTTATATATATATATATATATATATATATATATATTTTTTTTTTTTTTTTTTTTTTTTTTTTTTTTTTACCAGAATATTTTAATAATTCAGTTTGGCTTTACGAACAATTTAGATTGTTTAGAACAGAGATTTGCAGAACACATTAGAATTTGAATAGATCAGAATATAGAATTATTAGAATAGATTAGTATATATTAATGTATATAATATAGATTAGGACATTGGAGTAAAATAGAATAGTATGGAATTATATAGTACCTCCGAACAGAATAATACATTATATAGCGCTAAATAGAATAGAATATATAATAGAGCAGAACAGAAAAGAATGGAGTAGAAGAGAATAGCACGATATATAACAATAGAATAGAATAGAAAATATAATAGAGCAGAACAGAAAAGAATGGAGTAGAAGAGAATAGCACGATATATAACACAATAGAATAGAATAAAATAGAATAGAAAATATAATAGAGCAGAACAGAAAAGAATGGAGTAGAAGAGAATAGCACGATATATAACAATAGAATAGAATAGAATAGAAAATATAATAGAGCAGAACAGAAAAGAATGGAGTAGAAGAGAATAGCACGATATATAACACAATAGAATAGAATAGGATAGAATTCTCGATCATGTTTTGAACAAACCTGGTGGCATAATATTGTTTCTTGGACAAGTCTGGCAAAACCATCCAACCTCACTCCTGAATTACTGCGGCTCCTCATGCTGTCATCTCTTTATGATCTTGACATAGAATTTATGAAGATATGAAAGATCGATTAGAAGAGAGCATGCAACCAGATCTTTACTGTAACGTTAGCCTATTAGTGATTCATGATGACTAGCCAAGTCATGTCCGTCCGCAATGTTGTCCATACATTTACTTCATAAAAAAACGATTAAAATAAACAGGCCCACCATACAAGCAGGCTTTTCAAAATCAATAAACGTCCTTCTACCATTTTAAGGATCTGAATTAAAGCTCTGTATGTTCATTAAGCATTGCACATCCCGCATGAATTCCGATGTTGACAGCTAACGAGAGCCCGCCCACATGATGACGTACGGCTGTTTAAGTGACAGGAAAACCCGGAAGTTCAGTAAGCCTTTCGCCTGCACCCATGGACGGACGGAAGATTTATAGTTCTTTTAAAACAAGCATTCCCTTTCTCAAGAGCTGGTTTAGGTTGTAAATGTTTTTTTTCTAATCATTCATGCCTATTCCTCGTGCTAAGTGCTACCAAAACGTTAATTAAAACGTCTTGTTTTGGGTTTAAAAGGGAAAAGTCCGTGTAGGTTATCCGTTTGTCATTGGGGTCCGCCTACGGTATGTGCTCTGGACCAAACGCGATTTGTTTTCATGTAGAAGCTCGTCTTTTGATTGGTTCACGATGAGTACATTAAAGTGCATTGACCTTGAAAGCCAAAAGTAAAGTTTCTCTCTAGTTTTACGAGGCCATTGTGTTGTTAGAGAACAGTTTCATCAACATTGTTCAACTATATAAAAGTATGCTTTTAATTTTTACAACATAAGTGCCACATTTCTGATCTGTATATTTTCTTTTCAGAGACTTGAACCGATGACCAGAGTGACCTTAAACTTAATTATTTCTACTTTGACTCATGGACCAATCCAAAGTCCAAAAAATGTATTTGCATTTAGTGATGATAGCCCCCCAGGCCTGAATTTCTCACTATGTTTTTCAGTAAAAACAAAAACGACAGACGACTGCTTCTGTAATACATAATATAGAACAGAACAGAATAGCACAGAACAAAAAAGAATATACTAAAGTAGAACAACAGAATCAGGGTGGAGTGGAATAGAATTCTCATTCATTTTAAACAAACCTGGTGACATAAAATTGCTTCTTAAACAAAAACCACAGACTCCTCGGTTGTGTTACCACAGCTTGTTTTATTGTACTAAAATTTCTTTTGACAGCAACTATGGAAATCATCATTCAAGTATCCAACAGCATGTCAAATATTCAAATGTTCCTTTTTGGTTCTTAGAATTAATAGACTGATTGCGGTACTAATAATTATCCCATAATTATCCTGTAAATTAAAATATAGGTGTGAAGAAGCTTCTATATTTCACTGTAGGTAAATGTTAAATCTGAAACACTGGATTTCTAAGCATGTGTTGGCTCAAGAGTAAATGTGCTGTGGAAGGTGACATTGATTTATTTTAGCTACTACAGGCCCTTTTTAAGTCAATGGTAATTTAAATTTAACAATGTTTTTAGACATAATTTTATGTTAAATGATACAGAATGAATGTGGCAAGTGTGCTTTTTCAAATTATTGTACCCCTGAATTAGTGCACTTTTTACTAATGTGCATCTGATAATGATATGCAGGAAAAACTCCAGTCTTACTCTGGTTTAGCACCTCGTGTATAGGAATACATAAAACAAAAAATCCTTTCCGAATAAAAAATACAGAAAAAAAACTACAGTTGCAACTTTGTCGAAGTACACATTCAGTACATATTCTTTGGAGTGTTACTAATAACTTGGCCTCTTGGTTTACTGCAGTGTCTTCCTGTACCCAAAGCCCATCTCCACTGGTGAAATCATTGAGTTAAATCCAATGGTTATCCTAAGCAGGATACCTCTTTTACAACAATATAAGTGCATAAATTGCATAGATTTAGTGTAATAAAATGCATCAGTTCTACTCTAACCACTGTGCCGAACCCTATGACACACCAAACCCCCCTTTACAAAAAACCCACCAAACCTCTCAACAGATCCACCGAATAAATCGCTCAAAAAAGCTGGCTTTGTTCAGACTAGCAAAATCCTGACCCCTGAGAATGGCCGTCTGGTCTCCCAGCGAAAGCTTCGCTAGGATCTCCTTGTCAACATCACTGCCCATGGCAATCACTGTGGGAACGCCCTCTGCTCTGCGCATCGCGCTAACGCCTTCCTCCAGGTTCTTGTTGCTGGTGACCCCATCGGTGATGAAGACGAATGCCAGCTCGGCATTTCGTCTAACCAATCGTGTGCCTCTGCTCGTGACAATGTTGTTGACGGCGTAGATAATACCGTTGCCCACATTGGAAGTAGAATCCAGATACCTCAATTTGGCCAGGCCATCTGTGATGGCAGTGAAGTTGTTGGTGAGTTTGAAGGCCAACTGATGTTGGTTTTCGTCACCATACTGCTGAAGAGCCACCCTGGCATTGCGATCATCGTTGTCTCCCCGGGCGAGGGTCAGGTGGTTAGCGACGTTCTCCACGAACTCACGTGCATAGCGGAAATTCTCCTGACCCATGCGCTCCGAGCCATCCAGCATGAAGATGAGATCAACAGGCCGCTGGATGCAGTTGGCTACAGCTGGCTCTATAAGATACAAAAACAGCAATGATTGTCTTGGTTGACATGCTTGATTTGCTCCAGTGGAAATTTCATGAATTAAAATAATGAATTGTGCAAAATAAATGTGTTAGTTTACAGAGATAAGGTTCATTTAAGAGCAAATAATCCTAACGAAAATAAACATTTCATTGCTAAAGATATTTATTTATCAGAAATAATTCAAGTTGCATTTCTTGCAGTCCAAGAGCTTGCCATTTTTTCATTGCACATTTCTGATATACAGTATACATATATAATACTTACTACTAAATATACATAATCTTGCATTACCAAGAAAAATCTCATTATTGTCTATTCTTAGTCCATTTTTCTTTCACTCACGGATGGTCAATATCTGGATGCTCATAGCTAATTCACATTGATATGTATTTCCATTAAAAAAGATTCACTGAGATAATCATCAAATATAAATGGCCATTAACATTTATATAAGGAGGTTACAAAAAGTATTACTGAATTGCCGTTGTAGTGCATGAATGCGATTATAAAGATATGTCAGATACTCTTGTCAGATTAACTTTTGGGGGCAATTTAGAAAATAAATTTAACCAGAAAAAATATCAAAACTATTTTTTAGGAATAAAACAATATGCTATAGCATTGGTAAAGCAGTTTATAAAAAATCTTTAATTTATCATACCAATTATTTGTGTAAAATATAGTGGGTATTTGAAAGTCGACCATGGTAAAGCAGCACTAAAAAGCTCCATTGATATTTCACTAACCTATGAGAAGCTACAGGCTTGTGACTTCAGCCTTAATGTGCAAAGTGCAAAACTGATATGAAATACAGTCTCAAAATGAATTGTTCATTAATTTACAGATGCTTTAAAGGAATAGATCAAGCAAAACAAATTACAATTCAGTCATCATTATCTGGTTCTGTCATTCAAAACCTGTATGAATTTCTGATTTTTGATGTACTAGTTTATGGAGTTTTTATTTCCTTTATTTCCTGATCACTCTATGTTTTCATTCTTAGGAAAAGATCGACATTTCCTTTTGTGTTCCTTTGAAGAAAGAAAGTCATACAAATTTGAACAATGTGAGTAAGTAAATGATGGCAGAATTTTAATTTTTCATGTAAACTAGCCCTTCATTTATCAGTTGCCACTATCTTTGATATTCACAACACCGAAGCATTTATAAAAGATCAAAATGCCTTCAAATCCTAGAAGCCCTGAGGAATCAAGCAAAACAGGATAAGCTAATGAGAGCATGCTATGCAAGCAAAGTATCGAAAAATCTGTTCATCTATTCAAAATGTGTTCATTTCGCATATTTGAATGCAAAAAAATGATTACAGAGCAGCAGGCATTGAGGTCAAGAGGCAACGGTTGCCATTTCACATTTTTGTAGCAGGGAATTGCTTGTAGCAGAGGCTAGCAAACAAATGTAAGTGGCTGATAACTGGCCATGATGTTAACTATTTTACATGCTATTTCTTGCCAATTAAATGTTACATCTTTAAGAGAGGTATTAGCAATGGCATTCGATTATTGTTAACGCAAATACTATATTCATGCATAGACCAGCTAGCTTTTTACTTAACAACTCTACAGTGAGGCCAAGTGTATTCTTTTATTCAAGCTATCAGTTCGAATTTTTGGAAATGCCCAATCATGCTTTCTAACACAAGCCAAGAGCTTTGTTTGGGTCTCCCATCATATCGGAATAGATCACTCTAAATGAGTCAATGAACAGATCGGTCCATCTCTGTTTGTCAGGTTCAGAGGACAGTTTAGCCATCTGGGCTGCGTAAGCCAATGTAGCTACAGCCTTGGTGTAGGTATCGGGGTGTTTGGCCTCTTGTAGATTGTTGAATAAGTTTGGGACGCTTAGTACAGTGGTTGGGATGGGACTGTCCTTCCACTCCTCTGCAAGGGCGTCATCTGCAAGTGAGTGTTGAAACAATAGTTTTAGGGGCCTCCTAGCAACTGGCTCTGCCTAGTTGCTGTTTTGATTGATTTTAGTTTTTGATTTGATATCTTTCGCATTGATCATTGTGCATTTTGCAGACACACTCATTTACACACCTTTGTTGTGATAATGTGACATTTCCCTTGAGAGACTGGGCTGGTTATCACACATAACAAGTGTATGATTAATATGCATAACATACATATGAGATGTATAACTCAACATATGTATAACATTTGTTATGTTTAATGAACCATTCATGTATAAAAAAATGACTTTTTATAAATACAGTATGTTGATCATTTACCTTGCAGATCTAGACAGTTCTGTGGATTTTATATTATTTAGCAGAAAAAAACATTATTATTATAACTTTAATAGGCCAAATACAACCTGATTTCTTTCTTTCTTTCTTTCTTTCTTTTTTTAATTAGCATGCTAGCTGTTATAGCTGACACAGCAACTATTAGTGTCATCTAATAATTGTCCATGAACAATAATGTATGCAGTGTTGTTATCGGTAACTAAAAGTGAAAAATAATTTTCGGTAATTGAAATAGAGTGAAATAAAAATTAGATGAAAAACTTAAAAAATTAAATTGAAAATGTTGCCTTAACAAATAACTGAAATAAATATGTATGTTGAAGTACTAAAATAACTAAAACAAAAATGTAAAAAATAAATTAAAGTTTAATATAAATATTAAAAACACAAAAACTAATAAAATGACAAAAGTGCATAACATGACTAAAACTAAAAATTAAAACTGAAAACATAAAAATAAAAGCTACAGTAATTCAAAATATGAATGAATACTATAACTGTATATAAATAATACTAAAATAACACTGACTGTATGCATTGTATAAAGTATTCTCCCCCTATTTAAATCCATTTAAACCCTGTGAAAAAAGAAAATTATAAAAAGATTGCAGTTATGTAAAGAAAATAATACAAATAATAAATATATGTATTTTACTGTATACATTAAGTTAATTGAAAGAAAAAGATTCAGAATGTTTTTTTCAGCAATTAGGAGAGTTAATCATACACATCTTTGTGTATATGAACAACAAAACTTACCACTTTTACATGGAAGATCAGGGCAAACGATCACTGGATCTAAAACAAATAAAGAAAATAAAAGTAATTAAAAGACAATCATTTCTGGATATCAAGACAGCAAGCTAAAACCATAGTAAACTCAGGGCAGGACTCACCTGGGCAGAGTACAGTCTCAATCCTATCGATGAAATCCTCTGCAACCAGATCAGCGAAACGCCTCATTCCCATGACTCTTCCATCTTTTCTGCAAGCAATGGACTTGAGGCTTTCGTTCTCCTCTGGCTGGTCAAACATGTCACCAATACCGATGGCATTCACGTCAATGCTGGTGTCTGTGCAGAGGTAATTGAGCAGTTTGTCGTCATCACGAGGGTCGTACCGGCCGTCTGTGATCACAACCACCGTCACATTAGCCTTCGCACGACGGCTATCGCGAATCAGGTTATCGTAGGCGAACTTCAGGGCAGAAGGCGTCCATGTTCCTCCAGCGATCCACTCAAGATTCTTCACGGCATTTTTGAAGGCGGACATTGAGTCGATCTTGGAGTCGTTGAGGCGAATGGCCTGGAATGTTCCATTGTGACTGTACTGGACAACGCCGACTCGAGTCCCTGAGATAGACACAGATTTTGTTAGATTACATCAATTTGTAATTGCTACTTAAAGTAAGCTAATTTGGATTTTTTTCCCCAAAGAGATTCCAAAACAAGCATTAAAAAAAACAATTTGGACTACAATTTGACATTTTCTAAAGTAAATATGAATGGTGCTTGCCCATGCAAACGTTGGCCCCCCAAGGTTTTTTTTTTTTTTTTTACCTGTTTCAGAACTGGGATCTTTTGCTATTGAGCCCAGTCTGTTGATGGTGTTGATCACGAAGTTCTTTTCAAGGGTGAAGTTGGTCAACCCCACACTTTCAGAGCTGTCTATCACAAACACAATGTCCAGGGCACCACATCTCTTTTCACAGTCTGAAACAGACAAGAACATTTACTGAATATAATGCAGCGATACATTTATTTTTATGATGAGAATCTCAGTATGAGAATCTTACCACAGCATCCACAGGTCTCTCTGATGTAGTTCATGACATCACATTCCTGAGGAAATATATAGAATATATTCAACATTTTTCCATTAAGTCATTTTGAGCAATTTAATTACTTAATGCTTACAGTAAGGCCAGGGTCTCCCTCTGGTCCGGGGTCACCCTGTTAAGGACACAATTTGAAATCATTTAATAAAAAATTCACTTAAATCGCACTGCCAAACATTCAGAACTTGGTTTAATGTTACCATTTACTGTTGTTTAAGGACTTTTCTATGACCAAATAAATGAAATATCCCAAATGTAGGGCTGGTCCAAAAATGTTTTTTCCATATCAACGATATCATGATATTAATTTACCATTAATGGTGAAGGAAATGCTTTCCACATGTTTGTTAGATCTTGAGAATCAATGTAAACATAACTTGTTTGTTCAGAATCATAATTAAACTCCACAGATTTAGCTACATTTTAATTTAGAGCCCTATTAAAAACAATTTATTAAATTCTTTCCCTAATTTATGTGTTTTCCATTATAAAATGCTATAAATGAAAAACAGAAGACTATATATCTCTTTCGCATAGTACATCATTTTTCAGTGTCTGCAGTCTCAATATATGAAGACACGAACTTCATCTCCAGAGCTGCTCCAAAAGTCTGAGATTATGTGTGTGTGTGTGTGTGTGTGTGTGAACAAGCCGGCTTATTAGCAACATGCACTGACTGACTATTGTTGCTCTTATTTCTGCTGTGTGATAGACTGTTAGATTAATCCATATCAAGAGCTTATCATCATTAGACATCAATTTTATTGCGATCTTGATATGATATATTTTATCACCCAGCCCTACCCAAACACCATTTTAACATTAATATGCACTAAAAATTAAACTTGCATCTCTTCCTGGGTCTCCTTTAGGCCCCCTTCGTCCAGGTTCTCCTGAAGGCCCGGGCTCTCCCTGAAACACAATGAAAAAATATGATCACATTATGAAAGTAAAACTGGTTGCAAATGGCATTTCATTTTGATTTTATAAAAAACTTCTGAACAGTAAACATGCAACAAAAATGAGTCAATTTGCTAACCGACTCTCCAGGAGTTCCCTTTGGACCTGGGTCGCCCTTTGGTCCACAGTCTCCTCTACTTCCCCTGGGACCAGGTGCACCTTTATCACCCCTGTCACCCTGTTAAACACATATTTATTATATTTATTTGTAAAATATAAAATATAATGTGATCTAAAGCTCTGAATTGAAATTTCTCTCAGTACAAGTACAAATTTAACTCATTACGGTACCGTAGCTCCCCTTGATCCAGGATAGCTGAATCCAGGTCTGCCAGAATCACCCTTCGGCAAAATAATCAGTATATTGTATTTACAACAGACATGCAAGCATTGATTTTAAAACCATCAGATTTTTTGTGTGTGAAGTACCTTTGGTCCTAGAGAGCCAGGATCACCTCTAGGGCCAGAATCACCTGCGTCACCTTGGGAACCCTACAATAGATATAACATGTTCTTTGCTGGCTGTTCATCCAGCTAAATAAGTTCAGCATCTGACGTAAGCAGTGAGACAAAAAGGCAGCTGTTTTTGGTTTTGGACATTTTCAGCCAGTTTGTACTGTGAAATGGCTGACAAATATGACATTTAGCAAGATTTTGTCATTTTTACATTTCTGCCTGGTTCTCCAGGACCTCCTGGTGGGCCTCTTGGTCCTGGAAGTCCGTTATCACCCTGAAAGTTAGTAACAAAAGCCAGAAAAATATTTATGTTTTCATTTATATTTATCATAAAACCAATAAAAATCCATTTTCAACAATGACCTGTGTTTAAGCAGCCAAATCAGTGACTCTTACCTTGGATCCTTTGTTGCCAGCTTCGCCCGAAAGACCCCTGGGTCCCTCAGAACCTGGTTCACCCTGTCAAACATTATAAATATTTTAATCAATCAGGACATTGTTAAAATAATTGTTAAATAACATAGTCTCCCCTCATGCAATCTGAGTTTACAATAAAATAAGAGCCACTTACTAAGCACCTTTTTAAATTGATAACTGAGAACCAATTCTTTGTAAAGTTATCATTTTCGGTGAACCCAACACTGACCTTTTCTCCTTTTGGCCCATTATTTCCGGTGCTGCCTTTAGGCCCAAAGTCTCCTCGTCTTCCCTAAAAATACAATGGTAAATATCACCAAAAGTTAACCTACTGTAGTGTTACAAGGGGAATATAACAGGAAAAGAATTCCTCACAGGGTCGCCTTTAGGTCCAGGTCCTCCAGCTGTACCCTATAAAACAAAACAAAGTCCTCTTTAACATCATCTCTAATTTACAATGTTAAAATAACAATAATGACCATAATTAAAACAAATACATACAGCAGATCCTTTCTGGCCAGGAATTCCAGGTGTTCCGGAACTTCCTCTCTCTCCCTGTAGGGGGTGTCAGAGAGCATATTACAATATTATTGATAACTAATGTTAGTGTAATCTCTGTAGTTATGAAATCTTACTTTGGGTCCAGGATCTCCAGCTGGCCCAAGTGGACCTGGTCTTCCTGGACGACCTGGATCGCCCTGAGAATAAAGTGAGCAACCATGACACCTCAAACCACAATGCCTAATGGCTTTTACGTAAATGCCAATTTTTCTTTTCTCTGCAATTTCTCAGGTACCTTTTCTCCCAGAGCCCCTGCAAGACCAGGTTCTCCAACATCTCCAGGATAGCCATCAGGACCCTGTAAAAGGCACATTCATCTGTTAATGGTATTGCATAATACCAGTATCTGTTCCCCAAATGAAAAAGACTCACACCTTGTCGCCGGGGTCACCTTTGCAGCCAGGAGCGCCGATCCTGCCAATTTTTCCCTGTTAAAAAATAGTCAGTTTTATTAAATTTTAATATTTTTATTATTTATTTGAATTTCTTGCTATCCACACTTCACTAGCCCACATTTACTATTACTTACCTTCTGCCCATCTGTTCCATTTCGGCCCAGTATTCCTGCAACACCCTGTTAGACAAATACTTTTTTTTATATATATATAAATATTTAAAAATAGATGCAGCATGAAAGATTCTGTAAACAGAGAACATATAAAATGATAAGCAAACAGTCTTACCTTCCTCCCTTGTGCTCCAATTTCTCCCTAAAAACAGATAATTTGCATGTAACATTTTTGGTGCATTACCAATAAGTCAACCATATTTATTAGATCTTACAGATAACATTGATAAAATCATACCTTTTCACCTCTGAGACCAGTCTCTCCCTTAATGAGAATAAACAGGAGAGTGGTTACAAACAGTAATCTGGACAAATCAAGTGCAATAAGTTTAATGACAGCTAATTAGATGTACACAGAAACTGAAATGAAATGCTTGAAGTGAACGGAGCATTTAACACAATATTTACTTAAAAATCACAAAAAAGACCCTTCTAGTAATCAGCCAAGCAAAAACACTTATCAGTTAAAGCAGATAATCTAAAAATAGCCAAACATATGCAGAATAATTGGTCTGATCAATACATATTGGTTTATGATTAGGCATTTAATCACACCTGAGGAATGTGAAGAACTTACTTTAGGTCCAGGATGTCCAATGGGTCCCTCAATACCTGGATCTCCCTGTAGGTTTTGACATGAGTTAATACAAATAGTACTGGTGTGAGAGCCTCACAGAATACGCATTAGATTTAGTACAGTCTTTGGTTGAAATGCAGTGTTTTACCAAATGCATTCAATAGAACTGGTTTGTACTCACAGGACGTCCTCTTTGACCTTTAAGACCGGGGTCACCATTATCGCCTTTAGCTCCCTGTAATAATCAAGACGTTAGATCAAGTGTTAAGCAGAAAGAAAAAGAGAGTGAAATTACTTGATAGTTAACATTTCTGTCAGTGCTGTCTTTTTAAACCCAATTTTTTTTTTAAGATACTCACTTTCTGTCCCCTGAGTCCCGGTGGACCTGGAGGTCCTGGAGTCTCCAGACATTTTGTAGAGTAGCACTGGAAAGTAATGATGAAATTGAATTAGAAAACATTGTAATGTAAAAAAGTTGAAAAAAGTTTCTTCAGACTTTAAAAATGTAGGTTCAAAAAATTGGTTCTTTGAAGAACTATTCACTGAAAGGTGAAAAAATTGTTCTTCTGTTTCAATGCTGAAAAAAAAACTCCTTTCGTTTTTTGGCAAGGCAAGGCAAGGCAAATTTCATTTATAGAGCACAAGTTTAACATAACCATAGTTGATACAAAGTGCTTTACAATAAAAAATACATCAGAATTTAAAAGAGAAAAAGAGGGGAGAAGCATATATATATAAAAAAAAAGTATCAAAAACAATTAAAATGTATATCAATGATTCTTGAGACATAGGACAAAACATGTCCAGCAATTGTAATTGGTATTAGGTTTAAAAATGAAAATATTTTTAAAGGGGTCCTTTTTCACTTTTTCAACTTTAGTTAGTCTGTAATGTTGCTTGAACATAAAAAAGATCTGCAAAGTTACAAAGCTCAAAGTCCACTTCAAAAGGAGATATTTTATTTAACAGAAATCACTTTTCAAAAACTACAACGAACGACTTGTTTGGACTACAATGCATAATTTCCGGGATTTGTGATATCACAAATATTGACGAATGGGACGAGACCTGGTTGAGCTGCACTAGAGAAGGCAACGAGAGTTATCACTATGTCGGAGACACGCTAGCTTTCCCAAGGCAGACAAACTTAGAGTTTTTACAATCATCCGGGTTTAAATCGCGCTCAAAGCAACATTTACACTGAAGCTAGCAGGCGGCTATGGTAAGGGGCCCAACACACACTGGCCCAGCTAACCAATCACAGCACATTTCATATTTCAGAAGGCGGGCCTTCATTTGATACAGGAACTATTCGAGCCATTCATGCCAGACTGGGGAGAGAGGTGTTGTAATAATGTAAAATATGTGAAAAAATAATGTTTTTCGAACAACCTAGTATGAGAGCCTGTTCTAGTACACCCCCAAAACAACATCAAGACTTTGTAAAAGAGCATAATAGGACCCCTTTAAGTGAAAATTTTATGGGGGATTAATGTATTTAACACAATTATCCCCTTCAGTTTAATTTTTTCATTATTATATCAAATCTATGACACTTATTGTCTTCTCATTACATCTAAAACTGTGTGTCCACAGAGAAGGGTTCAATCATTCATATGCTATAAAATTGATTAAAAAATGTTTAATGATGGAAAAGAGCTAGTTTTATTAAAGGCAACACTTAGTAATATCTCATATCAAAGCCAGGGTTTTTTTCAATGGCAAATGTGTGTTTCATAAGGTTTCAAAATTGTGTCCCCACTTTTTGTCAACACCGTCAGACATTCAATAAAATGTAAAAAAAAAAATCAGGGAATAACAGGGCCAGCTGTCCCTCTAATGGACCCCCTTGCCACATTCCACCTCTGCAGAGTACATCAGCATCAAGCTCTGGTAAGTTTTATAGTTTTAGAATATTTTAAATCCTAATGTTAATATTTCCAGTGTTAGATAATTATATTCTCCTGAAGCAGGTTCTATTAGCATCTAGCATCAACAGAAAAACAAAATGGCTACTACATGAACTCCATTTGTTTTGTGAAAGGAATGCCAAATTTGTCAACACCGTCAGATGTCACCAGTTTCTGTCTGACGGTGATGACGGGCCAATAACGGAGTTGACATTCAATCTTAAGTCATCATATTTTAGTGGTTTACAAGTCATTTTTAATTATATTAAATATAAAATTGTGTTTAATACTAAATACTAATACTAAAATACTAAATATGTGACCTGACAGCATAGGTTTGCTAGTAGCAGCAGCTTATTTGTCATCCAGGTCTTGACTTCATTAAGGCATAAAAAAGATGATCTAATGAAGAGTCCTTTCCTGGTTTGATTGGAAGATATAGCTGGAGGTCGTCAGCGAAACAATGAAAATGTATGTTATGTTTCTGGAGTATTAAGCTTAAAGGGAGCATGTGGAGGGAAAACAAAAGAGGGCCAAGAATGGATCCCTGTGGAACACCACAATGGATAGGCGCAGTATACTTTAGTGAGAGCTCTGAGGAAAGTGATGCAACATGTTGGCACCCAATGAAAAAAAAATCATTGAAATCAATAGATGGCAGTACACTGATATGGATCTCACCTCTTGATAAGCCAGATGAAGCTGTAAGAAAGATTCTTTCTTGTTCTGGTTTCTTTCTAATAATATTATTATCGAGAAAGCTCACAACAAATATGAATGAAGTACTAAATAGTGTCTTCGTCATTAAATACATTTTAGGGTATTGTGCCACTGCATATCCAAAAGAAAAGTATTAAAGACATTGCATTACCATTGTGTCATAAATGCGATCGATTGTTGATTGCACTATGAGTGGCCGCACTCCCGCGAGATCAACCGCCATATATTTGTTACGATAAACTCCAGCAGGTGAGTTAGCGATCTCCCTGAGTCCCGTCTCCTCTAGGTTCCTGGATGATGCGACAGAGAAGATCTTAATGAATTCGTCACGTGCTCGTTCTGCCGCCACTTTGATCCCACCACATGGGTTTCCTGTCACGTGACCATCTGTGATTACCACCGCAAAGCGTTTGACATTGTTTTTGGACGGCGAGCGGACCAGTTGCTGGGTCATGTTGGTGATGGCGCAGTCAATGTACGTGCCCTTGCCCAGGTAATTTATTTTTAGGAGCTTAGTGATGAACTCATCTTTACTGGTGATGGCACTGATGATCTCCTGCTGCTGGGAGAAGTGAAGGCCTCCTACAGACCAGCTGATCTGAACTAAACCTTTGTAGATAACGTTTTCTAGTTTCTTAGCAAAAGCGGCGGTGAACTTTTTGATGCTGTCTACCAAGCTGCCAGGTGGGTTCTCCTGCAGAGCTATGGTCTCAGATGTGTCGATGACAAAGTACAAGTCGATTGGGCATTCAGTTGTTTCTGGAGAAAGAGAGAACACATACAGCGAATTAAGTCACTAAAACAACATAAAATAATATTAAATAATCTTTATATTTCTTAAAATAATACACTACCATTCAAAAGTACGGGGTAAGTAATTTCTTTTTCTTTAAAGAAATAAAATTAAATTAAACGAAACTGGTCACAAGAAGTGACAACAAATGCATTAATAATAGTACAAAAATATATTTTAAATAAATGCTTTTTTACTTTCTGTTTATCAAGGAATCTCAAAAAATGTCAGTAAGGTTTTTTTAATGAAATTACAAACTTGTATTCAGTAATTACGCATTAAATTGGTCATAAGTGACAATAAAGACATTTTAATTGGGTAAGAAAACATGTGAATGTGTGATTTTATTTATTGATTTATTTTATTCTTGTGATGGCAAAGCATTTGAGCGTCATTACTCTACAGAAGTCACAGTGTACTAGGAAGTCTTTACATTTTTAATATGCTTATTTAATGCTCAAGAAACATTTCTTAATATTATCAATCTTGTGTTGCTTAATATTTTTGTGAAAACCTTTAGAAGTATAAAGTCCAAAATAACAGCATTTATTTGAAATATAAATCTTTTGTAACATTATGAATGTTTTTACTGCCACTTTTGATCAGTTGAATGCACCCATCCATATTTTAAAATAAAACACGTGTAATGAATAATGCATTCATAGAATACTACAGAGTAATCGGTTACTGAAATAAGCGTTTCCTCACTTGTGCAGGGAGTCTGGCTGGCCAGAATCTGGCCC